TTTTTTTTAATTTTTGGACCTCAGTTGAGCTCCCTAAAAATGTTTTTGTCACCACAAGCCAGTCCTTATTTTTTTTTTGCTTTAATGAGGTAGCATCATTTATTCTCTTTTTGTAGGTTTTAAATAAGTGTCATTTAACCCTGTACTATATTTGCAACTTTTAGGCATCATAGAAATATTATTTGGTGAATTATTTATTAAAATTCTAAAGTTACACAGTCATGAGTAACGCGCTAGTAATGCGGGTGGAGTCAGTCTGCTTTAACAATTATAAAAGTAAAATAGACGATGAATGATGATCATGTTTAAGTTATTTTGTCACTAGGAATTGGCGACGCCGGTGAATGTTTTCATTTTATGGCACGTGGCCCTTAACCGATGTCTATACTACTAGTATGCTCTAACAATAGTTAGGTGTGCTGTATACTTAAGTCGGGATGTACTACTTAAGTCGGGATGTACTTGAACATGAAAATTTAGACAGTCAGGATGGATTCTGTGATGTTTATGTTTCAGTTATTTTGTCGCAATTATTTGGCGACGCCGGTTATTATTAACAGTTAATGTCTTGCTGTGTTAATTAGTTTAATTTTGAATCATAAAAACAAACAAAACACATATGTTGTTATATTTTGAAACATTTGAAGGGTTTGAAGATTCCGTTCCGCCTCATATCATCCCGACATTGGCGTATATCTTTTAAGATATTTTCTTATCTTAATGTTTTTCTTTGGTTTCGTTGTTGTTTTGTTTTTCTTTTGTAATGATACTAAGTATCTAAAATATATTACAGATAATGTTTGACAACGAGGACTACTTGACATACCAGTTGCAAATCATCAACACAAACAACATGCAGAGGTTTACGGCGGATGTTTTACACGCTCCTTTAGGAAAAAGGAAATTGTTGTTTCATGGATACCGTATAAGTGTCATGTGATATATGATTATAAAATCGGCACAAATGAAATATTTATTTTCATACCACTCGATGAAAATTAATCCTTTAGATAATAGTAAAAAACTGGAATATCCTCTGTATTAAAATGCATTCAAATATTGACCAGAACAGTAATTCGAGGCTATTTAACTTTTCCAATAAATTTTGAGATGCTGATCTTCCGAAAATTAAGTCTCGCGAATGTATCTGATTTGACAGTAAAAATGAAAAGAAAAATGATAATGTAAGATTTATATGGATGTATTGATTAACACTCTCTTGAAATTATTTCGTTTAATTTTTACCTGGTATTTATGTTTCATGCTTAACGTTAACGATCAATACCATGCTAAAATATGTATTTTATAAGTTAATAAGCTTTTTTGACAGGATATATTAGTCTTTATTTTCTTTTTTTTTCATCTATAATCCAAGCCGCCAGATGATGGTAATATTTAAAAAAATCGTGTGTATACATACAGTCATATAACCCGGAAAATATATTTAAAAGGAATAATAATACTGCATGAATCCATTTACAGAGAGGGTAAATAAACTAACTGCTGCAGCCACGAATGTAGCATTTTATAACGTTTGTAACGTCACGTTCCATTTGAAAGTTGTGGCGTTAATTTAGTTTTTGATCACATAAACCGCGGCGCAGGAGTGTAATAAAGCCATTTAATATAAAACAGGCGTGACGTAATTTGCGCTATAAAGAAACATAGCGTGAAAGTGCGCTAATGTTAGCGTAGTACTATGGGCGCGTCATTGAAAAATTACTCATTTTAACAGTTTACTGCTTTTGTTTTTTATTATGTGATAAACAGAGTATTATATTCGTGTAGATTCAATACTACATTTATTGAACTCGTTGAATAAAACAATATTATGCCCGCCAGAGGCTCGCGTAATATGATTTTATTTAATTCGTTCAATAAAGTTAGTATTAAACTACACTCAATTTAACTTTAATACTTTAATACTCAACTTTAATATTATCTACATATACATGGCTGCCGTCAAATTTCTATTAATCGTATTTCTTTCGAAAGAAAGGAAGTTTGCTGTATCATAAATTCTTATAAATATTACTGACAGGTTATGTTAACGATGAACAGTTGTTTCCAATATAAAAAATGTGTAAACCTCGACTAGCGGCTCGGAATATATTTCCGACCGTTTATATAGGGTTTATAACCTGTCAAAAAATTAATAATATAAACGTCACGATTTTTAAATGAAAAGCGACATTACATCATAACTATATAAGTGTGATCATCAAATACATTGCTTAACTTATTGCAATGGAGTGAGGTATAATGATTTCAGATTGACGGTAGCAAAATATTAGTCAGTAACATCAGAATAGTTTTTTTTTCAAGCACACACGTTCATAAAAGAAATCAGGCAATAGACATTATTCTCTCAAATAAATATAAAGAGCATTTATCACTATAAACAGAAAAAAAGACATTTTCTCATATATATTTGTGTTATCTTGTTTTGCCAATTAATCGGTGGTTTAAACGTAATTTCAGATATTTGTTTACATTGAAAACTGTCCGTTTCTTAGAAAGGGCGACAAGCAAGATAAGTGGCGATGTCTATGCCCTATTTCCGACATACATGACATAGTTACTTGCTGCTCACTGTTATGCGATTGAGCCCTCAAGCAAACAGGCCAAATCGTCAATTTTTTGTTTGTTTACTGGGCCCTATATGTATTGCGCATAGGTATAACCGGGCTATAACCATGTTAACAAATGGTTTTGGTACCGTTATAACATGGCAAAAGAGGGGAAAATTGCCGATTTTAAGCTATAATAATAAGAAATTATAATAATAATAATAATAATAATGTTACTCATTAGTAATGCACATTTACAATACGTTCCATTTAAATTCATTCTAAAATTTGAAGCTATAAGTCATATACACTGTAAGTATACAAGTCTGGTACCCGTTCTTTACTTTCATAGATATAACGGATTTAGAGATTCAAGATTATGTCATATAGATTAGCACCACTTCTCTGGACTGTGTTTTTTCTTGCTGTACAAAATGCGTTTCTTTTTTCATATGAAAATGGTCATGACAGATTGATCAATAAATCATCGATTCTCACCTTCTCTCAGGTTATACCATGGGTATATCTAAAGAACGACGTAATATCCAAGTGCTTTAACTATAATACTTTATTATTCTGAACTATATCAAGTTAAATACAATTGTTAACGTAACAATAATTATACTCGATAGCACTTCGATTCTATGTTAAACAAACAAAATATAACACTTCAATCTCACGTCTATTAAAAAAACAACAAAGTAACAATTGTCTCTATAAAGCTCAGGACAATGACAAGGTCGTATCACTATTAACTGAATACATTTTGTAAAGTTTAACGTATCTCATTTAAGTAGTTATAGGTATATCTATATCTAAGGTACACACTTCAAAGAAAAGAGAGGTAACTCTTCAGTAATGAGGAGTTGTCTCCCGTAATAACATACAATTCTACAGAACCATATTTACTCAAACCCTACACACACGCATGCGCCCTAGCACAAACATTCACATGATCATTTACGTACAATCGTTTGCATATTCTTTAATTTAACATGCTGAAGCGGTAATCGTACATGTACACAATACAAGATATTCACACACCCGCGCATTTACGCACACACCCATCTAATAACTGGTATGCATTCTTTCAAGTTTACATGCCGAAACTGTATCTGTACATGTTTAAAACATAAAATATTTACAAAAGTGTTTAGAAAGTTACATCTTAAAATGGTCATATAAAAAACCAACACAAAATCTTTGTTGTTACAAATGAGCATCATATGAGACTAAAATTGCATTTAAATTAGTATATCAAAGTTGCCTCTGGAAAGAAAGACATTGAAAATGATGTTAAAAACAGCGTTATAGCTTTCACTGTTCAAATTACACATCTTAATTTCAAATGAATCTGAAACTTGTAGGCCTTAATCGAAACCGAAAGTGAACAGACAAATATTCGGATAAAACATACCACGTCTCATAATATGTCAAAGCGCCTCATAATGCCTTAATATAATTTTCAGCAATGTCTTAATATTATTTAACATCATCATGTGTAACATTATGTAATAGAATCTCAAGATGTCATACTTATTTTATTGCACCATCAAATGGCACACCACTAACATACACTCAAAATATCAAAACTACTTAATGTTCAATACATTATACATAGTTTCATCTACTTGTTATTCAAATATTATATTGTTATTATACTTTTATTCCAAATATACAATCTAATCAAAATGTTACATATGATTCAACACCAAAAACCTGTCATGAAAATTACACATTACCACAAAATGTTCTATAAAATAGCACGTAATAGATATATTACACAAGTTGCACAAATGATCAATATGACATATATGAGAACATAATATAACCCACAAAGATCATCAACATGTCATAAATATGAAATGACATCATAACATAACCAATATCATCCACATCATCAACATCATCATCAACATGTCATACATATTTACAAAACAAGCAATACATGCCCGCTAAATAATATCTTTCAAAAAAAGATTGTCTACATTAGGGCGCAAAATAAAAAAAACGAAACTGCTTGCATTTTTAAACTGAGGGAGCGGTGGCTCAGTGGTTAAGGTGTATGCCTCTCATCCCAGAGATCATGGGTTCGAGCCCTACTCGGGTCATGAACCTGTTTCCAGGAAGCGGACTCTAAAATGATCAATATAAGTTGCAAGAACTTGTTTCGCAATCGAGCTTCAATGAATATGTTTTAACCAAAACTGAAAATAATTCCAATAATACACAACAAAATTTATTATTGTTCATTTTTGTACTCGCACTCCTGACCAAGAAATTGCGTTTACAGTTAAAGCAACATGTTTTATGAAATTTACCGTAAAACAGTAAATGATTGAGTTGAAAGCTTATGCATAATGAAATTGGTGCTATGTTATGATATAACAGATGACCGTACCAGCTGCATTTGCTGTCAAAAGAGTTTACATTGTATATATATATATGTTTCAACAAACGTTTGGTTACATTAGAATCAAACAGATATAACCACAATACAGTTATGAAGAGTTCTTCCATTTGAAACACCTTTGTAGTTGCGTATTCATGTCTTTTTTTTCTTCAAAAAGGACACATCAAGGGGAAACCTATTTATCCAGGCTTCCATAACATGTTCCAATGTTTTGCATTCATCATCGGCTTCTTGGTCATTCCTAAATATGTCTTTTTCTATTTTGACCTCGTGCGTTTCTGTGTCAACTGAAAGTAATTATCATACATATTTTCAGACAAAATAACCTCTTTTTCTACAACAATATTTATGGACAAAAGAAAGGTCAACCTTAAGTACCAGTATAAATGTTTTTATATATATTCAGTCTATAGCTTTTAATAGTACAAACATTAATAAAATTCTTAAAGGTTCTAACTAAATGAATATTCTTTACTTTTTGTTACAGTTTGACATAAAACATAACAATTACAATATTCCTATAATATTCCAATTGCAACTTTTCGGCCCTTTCCGTCAGTCTTCGGATAAGGACCTATAACACAATAGTATGAATACACAGACCGGTTGCGGTATTTCGGTCAAACATATGCAAAAACTCTAAACATGTAAACAAGCTGGGATATGTTGACTATTTTTTTCTCCAATATATCAAGTAAAAGTCCACCTTAAATAAGTGAATTCATGGATACAAAAGCAAACAATACATAATTCATATATTTATTATTAAGGCTGTAGAAACCGAAAGAACAAAATACCAAACAGTTGACATTAAGTCGGATTTGTTAAAAAAAGTTGTATACCAGTAGACGTATTAAAATCAAAATGGTTGACAGACATATTTTCAATCATTATTGTACCGAAACAGACTTAATCGTCGTTTGGGTATCAAATACATGTATATACATTTGTTTTATATTTTCGAAGATTACACTCCCTGCTTTTTGTTTACCTGAAACCATGTGGTAAAACTATTTTCAATCCGTATTCACTCTTAGGTTATTATAGATAATAGCCGAAGAGATTCCGATTGATAGTATTCATCATTTATTGCGACTGTAAAACCACGAGGATCGATTATAACATAACATTTTATAAAGCCAATTTTAACAAGTAATTTTCATAACAGTCAATAAAACTATTTAGTATCTTATTCTTTAAAGTGAATGTTCCTATAGTGGAAGGTGTGTAATATTATATATAAAACTTTGATGTTATGTTTTATTTAACACCTTATAAAATATAACTAATGGACTTTCAGCATTGGCACAGCGCAATGATCCTATAGATATCATTATTGGACCCAGTGTTATCAATTTAGCCTCGATTTTATTTCCGTGATATAAAATCCATTTTATAGTGCATAAGATATCGTTTTCATTCCCAGAGTCCAAAGGTTCATATCAGCCCAACATCCATATCAAATCTACATTTAATTGAAGTAACAAAATGTAAAAAGGTGGTGTGAATTAAAGAGGTCATTAAACATTATTACCAATAATGTTTCTTTTGACTCGTCAACAGCAGCAAACTTTATATCTGACTCGGCTAGCACCTCGTCCAAGATAGTTATGACAGCTGTGTGTCGCTAACATAGCGATTATTTAATGCATACTTTGTATTTAAATGCTGTTCTTTGAAAATGCTCATTTTAACATTATTGTCTGTTGATATTTTGTTTATTGCTCCATTGTTTGCGCGCCAAAGTCTTATGATATTTCATTGATCCTAATAACTCTGCCTCCATTTAATTCCCGCCACATACATATCCATGTGCTTTTTATGATATCATTGTGTGAATAGAGACCGCATGGTTACAGAAGTTTAGTATTGAAATGGATTTTACAGAGAAAGGAAAGGTATTTTGTTGAGATATAAAAAGGATTTTGCTGTGAAATGTATATAGTTGTATTTAGTCATAATTATAAATGCTCATTATAATTTATTTATAACTTTATCAATTATTTTGCGTCAGTAGTTTAAGATTAAGCAGATGATATTTTTCCGTTGATTTTATTCATATTTGAAATACTTATGGTAAATATGCCCATTGTAGACCTTTTATTCTTTGAAAAATTGCCCATTGCAGACCAATACATTGTAATTGTATCAAATACAATGAAAATATAAAATCAAGTTTTTGTTTGTACATTTACCTTTGAACTCCTTTAGAAGCATAAGCTTGACCTCATCAATGTTTTTCAGATATTCAAGCGGAAGACGAACAGGTGTTTGACTACCTTTTGAAGTAAATTCTATATGTACCACATCTTCCGTAAAAAAGGCAATGTCATTCAAAGTACTTTTCAGATGCCTTTTAGGAGTAGGTGCCTTTTGTTTTAAGTGTTTGTTAACGTAATCAAATAAGTTATCAATGGAGATGTATTCTGTTCTCCTCTCCCAATAGGAGGAACAATGATGACAATCCTTTGAGCATTCTCTTTTCTCGGATCTAGCTTTTAATCCTTGAATAACATACTTTGTAAATAAACTTCCCTCGTCATTTAGAATTGCCTTCTCACCCTCGCTGCATGCGTTTATCTGAATGAATTCTCTCTGGCTATCTTTAAAATCGATCATTGGAGGAAAACATCGGTCAAGAAAGAGAATCAGTTTATTAACATTTTTCAACGACTCTATCTCTTTTTGAAAGTCCTTCAATGATATCAACTCTGATGATTTCCCAAGCTGAAACATGTTTTCTTGGACAGAGCTTTTAAATGCTTCGGAGGGATCACTTTTTTCCAGATTTTCAACTTCCTCGTCGGCTCCATGGCACGAGAAGTACATCAATAATGTATCGATATTTACATCTTTAGCGAAGTGTGCAATATGCTCCGTGATTTTCGTCCATGTTGGCGTTTCTTCCGTTTTGTTTGCTGTCTTTGTATCGTCCGGTACAACTGTCTTCACGTTACATTTACTACATAAAATGATTGTATAACATTTTATCGAATCCAAAAAGTCAAAATGAATAGAATTTCAATTTCATTGTTTGTTTAATTGTAATTTTACATAACTAAACAATGCATCTAAGTATACAAATTTGTCTTCTTTTTTCAGAAAAAGAAAACATAAAACGTTTATGTTCAGGTCTTATTTCCTCGAAAAAGTGTATACCAATAAAAATGTTATAACAATGTATCCCTTAAGGAATGTACAAAATTATTACATAAATTTAACAAGGTTAATGGTTTTAACTGTAAAAACTATATTACCTTATACCAATAATACGTGGTGCCTTTGAGGTAACTACTCTCTCTAACTCTAGTATTTCTCTTTTCATGGCTGCTGCTTTCTCTGGATTTTCATCATCACCAGCAACAAGTAAAGCTCCCCATTTACTGCCTTTGATAGAGAAAAAATAAATGTTTTAAGATTCAACATGGTTTATCACAAGTATAACCTAGAGGCCAAGTAAGTTTAATCAGGGCATATAGAGAAGATAAAGTATATACTGAATGATGCTCGTAATACACAAAATCAATGTTTTTGCTTGGGTCCGCCTTTTCAAACCAAAACGTTTTTTTTAAATGATCTTAAACTCCGACTTCTGATATAGGATAAAAAGATCAATGTACAAATAAACCTATGACTTTTGTATGATTAATTATCTAAAGTATTTAAAAACTGTTATTACATTATGATAAGACAGCTTTGAAGGTTACATTAGACATTAATGTGCATTGATTTCAATAAAATATACAACAATGTTTTGAAGTCAAATTGAAGAGAATCTTAAACTGTAAAATAACCAATATCATTCAATCTGCATATATATAATCATTTTTGCATACCTTTAATGACTGACGTCCCCTTATACATATATATACATATATTCATAAACATATACTCGTATAATCATACCTATCACGGATTTCAATCTCGCTCCACAATAACACGTGACTGGGTTTAGAATACTATTTTTCTCGCAAGCTATACATAGTTCTATCTTTCGATTGCAGTTTGCATAATGATTATCTGTCAATGACGAGTTTTTAGCTGAAAGTACAATATTTATATCAGACAGCAAGTGTTTGTGTAAAACTACAGCGAAGTAATATTTTGGTCTCCATAAAGAAAGATCTCTGTATGCTAGAAGACTGGTTCGCGATATAAATGTCAAGATTCCGTTGATGTTATCAGCTTGTTTTGTGGGATGAATTGATGCTCTGTATGCTATAGAGTTTTACATGTATATGATGCTGTATGATGCTCTGTATGCTAGAAGATCTATCGAAGTCATTGCACATGCTCTGTATGCTAGAAGACTGATTTGAAAGTTAATTTGTATGATACAAACATATGATTCGCAATGGTGCTCGATTTATTAACGAACAGGGAAGAGGGAGGCGGTCATGTCATTGTCAGTAAATCACGAATATCTGAGACAAATGATCACATGGTTGCATCATGCTGTTTAGTATAACATCGACATCTAAATGAAGTTATGATCTGCAAGCCATCATTGAACAGGCAAAAGATGAGATTGTTCTCACGCCAACGCACCATAGAAAATAATGACAACTACAAAAACGGACCGGGCTACGTTGAGGCGAGATGCAACGGCTTCTGCTAATGGGCTTCCATTGAAACAGATTTGCTCCACACTCGGAAGGACATATAACACCAAATTAGCATCTTCTCGGGCGCCAAGTATTTTCTATACTAAGGCAGCGTAGAGCGGGATCTCGTTCATTCTGTAAGAACACTGATGAAAAATGTGTTTCATATAATGCTCTCTCGACTATAGCACTTTGGTTGGACAAAATTCCTCTACCTACTTATATACAAGTTATAATTATTAGAGGTCAGCGCAGATTGTGTAGTCGAACCCATCTTGCCATTCTAACTCGAAATGTTCTTAGGCTTGGAAGATGCGCCACTTAATTTATTTATCTCTCTAAAGGCCAGCACTATTAACTTGTTTGTGATTGGTGTATGCACATTAGAGGGTTTAGTTTTTCCGTCCGGCCATATCTCGCTCTCTAGTTTGGTTCTCAATATTTGGTGGCCGAAATAGATCTTGATCAGTATACTTTTATAGATACACGTGATACCAAATCGTTACGGCGAAAACATTTTATCACAATACAACAAATTATCAAGGGAGAGATTAGCCACGAACTTCGCTTTGATTTGAGTCAGGTGGGCCAGCAGGCAAAACATCCAATCTTTCTTATTTATGACGAACACAGTTCGCATAAATCCCCACAATCATCGATCTGCTAGTAAAAGAGTAGCAAGCTCTCTCGGATTAGTTTATAAAGAGGAAGAATAATACGATTGTGTATAGATCTATTAAAGAAATAATAGATCTTGAACTTTAAGTCAACATTGAGACTTCTGTCTTCAAGAAGGAGGCAAATACGCATCCACAAGGCGTTGACAGTGCTCTTAAATAATGTGTCAAGAGACACCGCAGAACCAATTCTGGAAGTAGGGCTATCACTGATGACGACTCTGTCACAGAAATTGACAAAAATTCGCAGCAACGAGCTCGAGCTCGAAATACACCTGTTTGCAAAAGATCAGCCACATAGCCACGTAATTAGTCTCGGGCAGCAGCATAATAGCTTCAACAAGTGGTCTTAACCAAGCCAGAAACTTGTCACGTAGAGTTTCTCCATCTGATTCCGAGGACAAAGACGATTTGATCTCTGAATCAGATGTATGCTGCAAGTGCAAGGAGCTGTCTCCGCTGAATCAGCACAATTTGTCTATGCGTAAGACGGTTGATTGGACTCAATGCGATGGTTGTGGACATTGGACACACCTGTCGTTCTGTACTGTACGTAAGAGTTGTCAGAAGCAACTCCACTTTTCTTTGTCACCATTGCAGTTTAAATATGTTTAGCAGTTCATCTTTTTCTTTAGATTTCTCAGCTCTTTATTGTAGTTAATATAACTTGTGTTGGATGCCATTTTATTGTCATGTTCTCTGTTAATGTTATTACAATAGAAATTATTTCTGTTCCCGTTTTTAATGTATTTTCTACCTCCTGTAGCAACAATTAAGAACACAAAGAGTATCTTTGAATAAGAATATATCACTATGCCCTATGCTTAACTTTAACTGATGTTTCAAATTAATCGAATGCAGTATACAATATGAGCGCTGGCAGCGTTAATACCGAAACAAAGCCATCGCAATTCTATTAAATATGACACATATTCTGAGAGACTAAGACTAAAGATAGTAAAAGTAGAATTGGTTAGGATTTCATTATTAAATAATTTATTTTCGTATTAGTTTTTACTTGCTGTTCATGTTCATTGTCTTCCATTTATTATTAATTTAAAAACGGTAGCTTAAAATTAAACGTTAAACCCCCGAAAATACGTGTCAGCGGCATGTGTATAATCATACGCCCGAGTAGCGTAGTGGATAGTGCGTTCACGTTATAAAATGTTTTTGACTTCCAATCTATAATTGCGTAGATTTTAAATATGATATTCCTTTACAAATTGTCTTCATAGCTTTCACGTGATTTGTTTTTCCCCCGTTTTTATCATGCCATTGCTTCATTGAAATCATTTGGCTGGAATCCAAACCACGAGGGTTAATCGAAAACTTGAAGGCATTACATTATACAGAGCTGAATAGTATTTGACCAGGGTCTCTACACTTACAAAGCAGACACTCTACCTCTGATATGCTGCATAAGTAACAGTTCAAGTTGTTAAAGATTTAAGCGATACATTATAAGTTTGCTTTTATATAAGAATAATTGACACAGGTATACATGTATATCAATGTTGATATTATCGCTTTTCCTTAAAAAATCGATATGTTATCTCAAAATGTCTAATATAAAAATTGAAGTTGGCTCATCGTACACGGCCTATATGCCGGAGTGAATTAATGTGTACATGGTAAAATTGAAAGGTTGCGGCTTATACAGTGCAGTTAGTGGGTTATTGTCAGAAAAAAATATAATAACTAAACTGATGTTACAATTTATATTTTTGATGACAGAGTGTTTGTCGTCTGTCGTTGTCTACAACTTGATTTACATAGAATTGTGCAGTAAAATGATTTCATAATAGTTGGGTATGTTTAAAACATACTTCA